AATGGATGGAAACTAATCAAGGAGAGAAGCAACCTAGAACTAAGGAGAAACTTCCTGACAGTTAGAACAATTAACCAGTGGAACAACCTGCCTCCAGAAGTGGTGAATGCTCCAACACTGGAAGTTTTTAAGAAGAGACTGGACAGCCATTTGTCTGAAATGGTATAGGGTTTCCTGCCTGAGCAGGGGGTTGGACTAGGTGACCTCCAAGGTCCCTTCCAACTTTATTATTATTATTATTATCTCGCTCGCTTCCCCAAAGCATCCCTTCACTAACCTCCTTTCCAGCTCCGTTCTCCGCCACAGCCTGCAGGGCAACAAAAGAAGCCTGTGGGACTACTGGTAAAAAAAAAGTTCAATCAGACCTTCCAATTTTGCGAGATTTTTTTTTTCGCGAGAAGTTGGATGGTCGGACTGATCTTTTTTTTTTTTAGTCCCACAAACTTCTTTTGTTGCCCTGCACATGGAGAACGGAGCTGGAAAGGAGGTTAGTGAAGGAATGTGGATGCCCTGGGGTGGGGTGGGGGTTAGGATTTGGCATTGTGGATTGTGGAGTGTTTGTGCTCTGGTGGGGTTATTCAAAATGCAGAGAATCCCTGCATTTTGAATAACCCCATAGGCGCTCAAACACCTTTCATCTGAACAGAGACCTGAGTCACATGGAGTTTCAAGCAGTCACACGGAGCGTTCCTTTCTTTTTCTGAAGCGCCCCACTGCAAGCACATGGACCTTCCAATCTCTCTCAGGTCTGCGTTTGGATAAAAAGTGTTTGAGCAGCAGCTTGAGTTTCTCCGCTCCGTCCTGAAGAAACTGGAGGCGCAAAGCAGGATTGCTCTCAGGAAGACGCAGGTGCGCCAGCCTTATTGAGAGCAATCCTGTTCTGCGCCTCCGTTTCCTTTCAGTCGGAGCAGAGTGGTGAGGATTTGTGCCAGCCGGCCGGCCAGGCAAGAACTAGGTCGGGCGGGGTGGGTGGCTGGCTGCGGAGGGGGATCATGGCTACTCAGGTGGTTGCTGCTGCTGCCGGCTTGGATGCGGGTGCAAGGGACCTGGCCCCGTGATGCCTCCCTGCTCAGTTGAAGGCTTCATTCCTGCCCTCAAACTAAGGCTGGCGCATGTGAGCGAGCAGCGCACCCGGGCTACGGACGGCATTGGTTCCTGTGCCTGTCTGACTCCGATTCCACACTTTGCCCCATAGGCATGCAAACGAAGCAAACACTGTCCCCCCCCAGAGAATGTAAGCTTCCAGGGGCCATGATCTCTTTTGCAGAGAATTTGTGTTTGAACTTGCGTGATATTACAGCACCCAGGAGCTTCCATTGTTGGTGCAAAAAGCATTTCCAAGCCGACTCTCCTCTCCCTCAAAGAGAAAGAAACTGCAGCAGAGAGGAGACAGATTTTGCAAGGTGAGTCTGGCGTGGCAGGAAGGGAGGGGGAAGCAGTTGTGGGGAGAGGAATAGGGTAAATATTGCAGAGCCTCTGCAGTCACTCGTAAGGGCGAACGACTGCTGTGGTGCTGCAATAGTCATAATTTTGGGATTTGCTCGTAAACACTAGGGGGTGCTGATCACGTAACTTCAAACGAGCGTTAAGTGAATGCTTGTAACTCGGGAATTACCTGTATTTTTTCCTTCTCTTCAACTTTCAATGAGCTCAGCTACTGCTTTACTAGTGAATAATATTTCCCATCTCCTTATCAGAATGGCTCCAAATTCAAGGAGAAAGAATGCATCTTGTGACAAAGATAGGAAAGAGGGAAGAATGGAGTAGAGAGACCTGGGCTCAAATCTCCACTGAGGCTTAGTTCACATAAAATAGCAATCAAGGTGGGAAGACTGATTCTGGATGGCAACAATCCATACAATTGTGAAGAGTGAAGCTAGAAGGAAGTTGTGCACCTGAGTTCTGTAACTTGTTTTTTTTCATTCAGCATCTTGCAGGAACCAAGGCAGTGCCATAGTATGTGTGAACTAAGCCATCACATTAAACCACAACATGCTTTCTTGTTTAGGCAAATGTATATGCAGGAATTGTGTTTAAGGTGTAGCACGCTGCATGAACCCAGCCATTTGACTGTACAACCCTGGAACTAGCACGGTGTATAGTTAGAATGTCAGACTAGGTTTAATAGAATCCAGATGGATCTTGTACCAATTATTCTCTCTTATTCAACCTGAAAGGTTTGTTGTGGGGATTAAATAAATATGGGCAGAACATATGTTACATTGGAAGATAATAGGTTAAAGTAAATGTAATGCATATATTCATAATCAGAAATTTCCAAATTTCATGTCATAGCCTTTTCTCTTCAGCTGAAATCTATCAGGTACACTATTGTCATTTACTTTTCACATGGAAAATCAAAATAATGAGGGAGTAAAATCCAGGATTTTTTTTAAAGATCCCACTATCCTTGGGCTTACTCACAATTTGTTTTTCTGTATATTTGTTGGAGCTGAGCAAGTTGACGGCCTCCATGTGCCCAAAGTCGATGTCATGGCCCAACAGGAAGATGAAAAGCAGCTTGCAGACATATTTCTTCTTGCTGTAACCATCCAAGGCTTTATCTCCTGAGAGGTGAGAGTGACAGGTGGGAAGTGGGGCAAGGTCACTTGACCTGCTGGAAGGAGAGAGGCATCTGCAAGGCAGCTGAGAGGACAGCTACAACAGCACCCTGGCCTTCTTCTACAAGTACCCAGAAAACCATTTTGTCAGCAGAAGTCAAGGTCACAGGAAATATCTTCCTGTTTTCCTTTTCATATAACCCCTCAAATTTCCTGGTAGAATACTCTTCTCTACTACTCTTCTGGAGGCCCAGTTTGGGAGGCTGCTATAAGTCACACAATATTCTGCTCTGATTCTCCACCTTTACGATGGGGTGCTGAGACTGGGCAAGTCCTACTACTTCATCAAATATCCCAATGGCAGAAATGAAACCGCCAATAGGCTTGGAAAATCTTTTTACCACAGAAGTCACATTGGGGAACAGCAAAGACCTTGATTAACACTTCCCATCAATTCTCAACTACTCTGGCCAATGAAGCAAGGAAGAACAGAGAGTTCTCTTTTTCTCCATTCACTTACAATCTGATGAAAAAAAAAGTGCTTGCTTCTATCGACATCAGTGAATGCATTCATATGGGTACACACCAATACAAAAATAATACTATTTGCAGGAATATTAGAAAACCCATTTCTGATGCAATGTGCAGACCAATGTTGGACAGCAACTGAATTCTTCACAATCCCAAACCCTAACAATGATTGAAAGATTTACATGAACTTGTAATTTATGAGTTTATTAGAAAGGGAAGATCATGGAAAGAAGGAGATTATGTTGCAACCTTAGAGAGAAAGGTAAAATATAAATGTACTTGTAACTGTGGTGGAATCTGGCACTGAGTTCAGAGAGGGAGGAGTAAAGAAACCCTCAGCCATGAATTGGTGCTATGCAGGTAGTAGTACAGGCGGGATCCTCCCTAATTTCTTTTCAGCATTTAACATTATGCCTTACACTCTGGCAAGATTTTGTCTATGGGTGAGCATACAATAAAGAAACTGCTTTGAGCTTTTACATATGTCATTCTTGGCTTCCCACACCTGAAGTAAATGCTGTTAAGCAAATCAGAAGCTGCTTCTTTATAACTTTTTTCTCTTTTGTTTCTGTTTCTCTCTTTGCACTGTTTTATTTCAATTACTTATTACTTTTCTTTCTTTAAAAATGTTATTAAAAGAATGTTCATATATAAGAAATATTGTACATTCAAAGAAAAAACTATAGTAAATGTGAAAAGGCAAACAAAAGAAAGGAAAAGAAGCAACCAAAAAAGGAGATAGAAAAAAGAAAAAGAACAGAACACAAACCTGAAAAAATATATAAAGAAGTGGTTTCTGATTTTCCACTCGGCAGTTATACATACAATTCTACTCAAACCTCTTTCTCTAAGATTACATCATAATCCCCTTCTTCCTATAACTTGTTCTTTCTAATCAAAACCATAAAATACAATTAGAATTACAAATAGACCCACAAAACACTTAAAAAACAAAAGGAAATAATAAAACATAAATTAAACCTTGTAGAGGTGGAAACAATGGCCCAACAAATTAAAAGGGCTAAACAGAACTTCTTTGAAAATGCTAACAAACTGGGGAGATGTTTAGCACATAAATTGAAAAAAGAAAAAGAGAAAAAACTGAAAAATAAGTTGCAAGATTCAAAAGGTGAATTACAGTTTCATAATGTGGAAAAAACTGGAAGTAGCAAGGACATTTAAAACTAAATATATATATATATACTTTTAGTATTATCATGTAATCATATTTTATATTTTATAATTATCATTTTATAATCAATTGCCTGAGTAGATGCTTTGAGTATATAGGGAAAATACAAGCCTCAGGTGGAGGTAGGGGGGGAGAACAGGAGTTACTGTGGGCCCAGTGTGAGTCACCATCTAGGAATTGTTTTTAAGTACCTTCTAGTACCTGGTACCCCTACTTGATCTAACAGGTGTAGAAGATGGGAGGCATCTCTCCTTTAGAAATGATAAGCATGTACATATATGGTCTGAGTAAACAGGATAGTAGGGGAGGGATCTTATTAGTATAATGTAAGCAAAACAGGGGCGGAGATAATGTATTCTGTTTAGGCACTTCTGATAGATTGTAACCTCCAAAGCCTAAGCCAATGGGGCTATGGGGGAGGGAATGGGGCGTCGCGATAGGGTGTGATTTTGGAATTTGGGGTGTGGTTCAGTGCTTGGCTACATTGCATTGTTTGCCTTCCTGAATCCACCACGCTTTGCAAACCGTTACTTTTTAGACTTTGTTGTGAAGTCTAATAAACTTCTTTTCTATTTGTAACTCAAGTAGAGTGGATTTCAATTTGTGACTATTTTGTGTCTAACAATAATAATACAATAAGAAAAGGGGCGTTGTCTTACCTGAACGCCTTTTCTCAGCACGGAGATGGAGAATCCACCATTGGGTAGTAGACTGTATTCCTGCCCAATCAGATCAAGTCAGCCAAAGTTGCCACGCCCGTCCTGGACCGTTGATCTCCAGTCTTTGACGCGAGCGTAGCCATTGACTGACAGCAAGACGTTGTGGCTCATCAAACTAACTGACACAAGGCCAAATGACCTATAAGGGTGGGAGGTGGATTCTCCATCTCCGTGCTGAGAAAAGGCGTTCAGGTAAGACAACGCCCCTTCTCCAGCACTTGAGATGGAGAATCCACCATTGGGACATACCAAAGCCTACTGTCCCTGAGGGTGGGTAGTAGACTGGTCCCGAGTGGCACTTTGGTGTAAGACCTGTTGAAGAACTCTCCGTCCGAATGAAGCCTCAGCAGAGGCAAACTTATCAATTTTATAGTGTCTGATGAAAGGAGATGGCGAAGCCCAAGTGGCTGCCTTACAGACTTCCTCGATGGAAGCTTGAGTGGCCCAAGCCGCAGAAGTAGCCGCGCTTCGTGTGGAATGGGCGGTCACACCCCTCAGAACCGGTAACGACTCAGCTTGGTAAGCCCCGGCGATGCATGCCTTTATCCATCTCCCGACTGTGGAAGAGGACACTTTCCGACCCTTGGTGGATGCGTGGAAAGATACAAAGAGTGCTTCAGATTTCCGAAACTCCGCTGTCCGTGAAATATAGTACTTAAGGGCTCTACGGACATCCAAACAATGCCATTGTCGCTCCAACGCATGCGACGGGTTGGGACAGAAGTCAGGCAGCACTATCTCCTGTGACCTGTGGAACAGGGAATTGACCTTCGGAACAAAGGTAGGGTCTAACCGAAGGATTACCCTATCCTGTTGGAAAATACACAAGTCATCTCGCACTGAAAGTGCCGCCAATTCAGATATGCGACGAGCAGACGTGATAGCCACCAGGAAAGCCACCTTGTGGGACAGAGAACGAATGTCACATGTCCTGAGGGGCTCAAAGGGAGACTTAGTGATGGCCCTAAGCACCCTTGACAATTCCCACGAGGGGTACCTGTGTACCACAGGAGGTTTTTTTGTTGGTGGCCCCCTTAAGAAACGACCTTACCAAGGGGTGATGACCCAGTGATTCAGTTGAGTCGCATGAGAGGATCGTGGACAAAGCGGCAACTTGTGTGCAAAGGGTGTTAGGGGCTAAACCCTTGTTCAAACCGTCCAATAAATAGTCCAAGATAATTGGTACAGTAAGTGTCGAAAGTGACAACTTCCGTCCGGAACACCAGGTTTGAAAATTTCTCCACGTGGCCTCATAGATGCGGTTCGTGGACGGACGGCGAGATGCCTGAATAATTGTGATGACCCCTTGTGAACAACGTTCTGCAGCTAGGATCGAGCGCTCAAGCGCCAGACGGCTAACTGGAGCTATTGGGGCTCGGGATGCAGAATGGGACCTTGGTTGAGAGAAATCTGATCCGACGGAATCCGCCAAGGTTCGTTGATTGAAAGATTCACCAGATCTGCGAACCAAGGTCTCCTTGGCCAGAAAGGGGCCACCAGGAGAACCTCCGCTCGCTCCTGAAGAATCTTGCGGATTACCGCTGGTAGAATTGGCAGAGGGGGAAAAGCGTAAAGCAAACCCTGCGGCCAAGGACTCCGAAGGGCATCCGTCTGTTCCGCCCCCACCATCGGAAACCGGGAGAAAAAACGCTGTAGATGGGCATTGCACGGGGACGCGAAGAGGTCCACTAGAGGAAGACCGAAACGGTGGCAGATTTCTTTGAAGATCCTCGGGTGGAGCCTCCACTCCGCGTGATCTATCGACCTGCTCAGAAGGTCGGCCTGTGTGTTCGCAACCCCCGAAATATGGTCGGCCTTGATAGACGCCAGATTGTGTTCCGCCCAGAGACCCAATGAAAGAGCTTCGGACAGCAGGCTCTGAGATCGGGTTCCCCCTTGGCGATTTATATGTGCCTTGGCTGCTACATTGTCCGTGAGGACCAGTACGTGTCGCCGTGTCACTAGATGGCGAAAATGTCGAAGAGCTAGATGGATTGCCCTCAACTCTAGCCAATTTATATTGTGCCGTAGATCTGATGCGGACCAACGGCCCTGTACCCAGTGTGACTGAATGTGAGCCCCCCAGCCGAACAGGCTGGCGTCGGTCGTGATAACAATCCTGTCTGGTTCCTTGAAACTCAACCCTCTGAGAATGGCTGGGGACAGCCACCAGCTGAGGGAACGTAGCACGTGGTGAGGGAGAACCACCCTGTTGAGAGAAGCACTGAGGTTCCGCCTCTGAAAAGGAAGCATGAACCGTTGTAGTTCCCTGGAATGGAGCCTTGACCAGGGCACTATCGCTATGGCCGAAATCATCTTCCCTAACAACTGGGAGAGACTGACCAACGTTGCCGACCGACTGCTTCGAAGCCGAAGGACCGACTCCCGTATGCCGTCCCTGCGATCTTGAGAGAGGTACACCCGGCATTTCAAGGTGTGTATGACGGCCCCCAGGTGTAAGAGCCTTGTTGTGGGAGTCAAGTGGCTCTTGTGAAAATTCACCGAAAATCCGTGGTCCTGGAGCAATTTTATCACTATTTTGAGGTCCGTCAATGCTGTTTGGG